ACACACACACACACAGGACTTCGTTGGTAGCAATCTGCAACACAGGTTTGAAGAGCAAAGGTGGCATGTTTGTGTGTGTGGTGGGCAGTAATGAACCCTGCCCTGCTTCTCCTGGGGAGCTGCTTTCTCTTGGTGATTTCAGCCTTTGCCTTGGTAGAAGCACAGATTCGGGCCTATTCTTTTTTCTTTTTTTTAGAGAGAGAGGGAAACATTGATTTATTGTTCCACTTACTTATGCATTCACTGGTTGATTCTTGTATGTGCCTTGACCAGAGGTTGAACCCACAGGCGTTAGGACGATGCTCTAACCAACTAAGCTACCTGGCCAGGGCCTGGCATGTCTGTTCTTAAAGATACAAGGCCAGGGATGGAGATTCAGCTTCAGGTCATTATAATTAGGCCAAATAACATCCTTCTGGCATTTATTTCCATAACAACTGTCTCACAGAATGAGGAATGGAAAAGTGGCCTAAATAGGAAAAAAGTTACACTGAACTAAAAGATCAAGAGTTGTAGTGATGGACCAAATGCATTTTTTTTGGGGTGGGGGGGAAGATAATTAACAGATATTTTTGCTTCCTAAATGTTTACAGGGTGCTTGCAAATCATTTTTCTTCACGCCGTATTTTATCTCATATAGTAACCTGTCAATGTACTTACTAATTTTTCTGATTTGTCCTGAGAAAAACCCCCAAAACCATAGTTGACAAAAAAGGAAAAATTAGCAAGCCCAAAGACAATTTGGTCAAGAGGCCCTGGAAGAACACTTTTGAGGCCAAGATCCCAAATATAAAAACTGGGCTAAAGGCCATCCTGTGAAGTCCAACCATGGAACCTTGACAATGAGCGAGCAGCAGCTTCCTCACCGTTCTCTCACCCAGGTAGATAGCCTCATAACAAAACAACCTACCCGGAACCTAGGGACCTCCAAATACCCTGGGTTGAGATCTATACCCAGAGATCCTAAGGCACTATGCTTCTTAGAGAGTTAAAGGCCAGCAAAAGGAAGTGGAGGGAGGAGAGGGAGACTGGTGTTTCTACTCATTAATGTCAATATAGTGTCCTTTTTTCAAGCATTTCTTAGGTTTCAAAATGTGTAAACCATATTTTATGCTTACTTAAGAATTGTTTCCTAGCCAATTTACTTTTTGGCTTATTGAAAAATAAAAATTGCTATTTTTTCCTAATTTTTAAAAAAATACTTTACCTGTCTTCTAAAATGTTTAAACTAGAACCACTAAGTTATTTCATTGTCCTTTAAGTTTGCTCTTATCCCTTCAGCATTATTTTCCTGCTCCATTTTCTTCCACACTCTTATGGTTGTGGATTGAGAAACTCCAAGTGTTACCAAGCAAGGTCTTGCTGCCCAACTTCCATAGAAGCCAATCCTATTGTTATCAGTGGAAGGGAGTTCTTGGGGTGCTGCGAGGAAAAGAGTTTCCTGAGGCCCCCACGGGAGGATGGGGTTTTGTGGAAAGCTTTATTGATGATGTAAAATTAAGGGGGTTCCCCTCCAAGGTCCCATCTCTGCACTGCCATAGAAGAAGTCCAATCTTGTCTTCAGCTGGGCCAGAATAAAGACCACTGCTCATAGTTTCTGCTCCATATTAAAGTCCAGTCCAGTCCAGCGTTCCCAGCTGCAGTCCATTGCACGTGGGGTCCAACGACAGGCAAGTGTGGGTCACAGAGTAAGAGAGCAAGAGCGAGGGAACTCTTTGTCTGGGGATTTTAACCAGGAGCATCTTCAAAGTAACCAATTACCTTTTCAAGATTTTGTGCTCTTCTGATGGGGCCCACCCCCTAGCCAATCCATTGTTCCCCAGGCTAGACTGACCCCTTCTTCCCCCAACAATCCAGTAGCCAACAGCGGAAGGGAGAGGAGTTAAGCCCCTCGGAGGAACACCGCTGTGTGAAGCTGTAGCTTCCCCCTGAAGTTTCCCCCGTGACCATGCCTACAAAGTCTGACTTCTTTTTGCTCTTTCCTTTATTAACTAGCTAATCATAATGATAACACTATGGCACCGGCTTTTGAGAAAAGGCTTTTTACTGTGAGGTTGACCAGCAAGGAGACAGGAGGCAAGGCTCAAATCTGTCTCCTAGATCCAGGGTTCGGGGGAATTTTTAGGGGTTAGGGGGAACAGGCTAGTATGTGGAAGTGCTGGTGGGGCAGATTTCAGCAGGAGAGTTTTGGAATTGGGCCATTTATGGTAAGCTACGGTAAGGGGCTTCAGCACTGGGTCTTTCTGGACACCAAACCCTTTCCAACTTCTGGTCATGTCCTGGTCTGTCAGTTCCATGGATGGGTGTGGGGGGCTTAAGGGGGCGCCTTTGGTTCTAAGTACAACTAGAGGTGAAAAGTCTCTCCAGTGTGCATGCTTCAGTTTTGGCGTGACTTAAAGGTTTGGCCTGTCCCCTGAAATGCAACTCAGTATCTTGTCAGAAACAGGATAGGACCAGTTTGAGCTGGTTCTGTGACTATACAAGGACCA